TTAGTTTATTTTTTGTTCTTAGTATTTCTCTCAACTTGTACTTAAGTAGAGGTCTTAAGTTCGTCTTTCATAGATGATAATTTTGACACCAATTTATATTGCTTGACACATTGTGTGGCTTAACTTAAATATTCCATTCCTTGGTGTAAATTATTTTTTCAAAAACAATGTATATAAATTAGTAGGTAGCTAGTTTATATATGCATATTTATTTAGCTCCTACTTGATGCTCATATGCCTTTTAAAATAATTCACCTTTTTAAGGAAGCCAATGTTAATTGCAATGTCAATGCATTTTATTGCGGTTTTAAGACAACGTATATTTATGAATTGTTATTTGACTTTGATTTCTACGTACAATATGCATGAACATGAAGGGCTCTGCATGAGAAAGACAACAATCGAATGTCGAGAGGGAAATTCTTTTTGATAGCACTGGTGTGCAGCTTCTCTTGGTACCTAGTGCCGGGCTACCTCTTCACTCTCTCAATAATTTCATGGATCTGTTGGATTTACCCCAAGTCCATAAGAGCTCAGCAAATTGGCTCAGGCTTCCGTGGGCTTGGCGTTGGGGCATTTACCCTAGATTGGTCGGTCATATCCTCTTACTTGGGGAGCCCTTTGATCAGCCCCTTCTTTGCCATTGTCAATATCACCGTCGGATACATCATCATCATGTACGTCATCATTCCAATTTCATACTGGAAACTCAACTTGTACAATGCAAGGAATTTTGCAATCTTCTCTTCGCACTTGTTTGATTCCGACGGCCAAATATATAATGTCAAAGGCATTGTGAATGACCGGTTTCAGATTGACATGCCTGCCTATGAAAAACAAGGATTCATAAACTTGAGTGTATTTTTTGCCCTAACATATGGCCTTGGTTTTGCTGCTGTTGTATCGACCCTCACTCATGTGGCTCTCTTCAATGGAAGGTAAGTAAATAATTTAAATGACCTTAAGTTTACTCATGATGTGTGTTTTTTTATTAACATTACACACAAATAGAAGCTGAGACAATTTCTAATAAAGGTGTGTCTTATCATTTTATGTGGAACCCATTTGTATTGCAGAGTGTGCTCGTGTCTAAATAATATTACTTCACAAATAGAGTTATCCAAACCTTTAAGTGGTAGTTCTCATTGTCTTTAAAATAGTCATCATGCAACACTCATCACTTCATTATCAATACAATAATATATATATATATATATATATATATATATATATATATATATATAGTGTATGATAACTATTTTGAAGTGTCAGTAACCATCTCTTATATCTTGTTCAATTTTTGTTTTCTATTGAGTTATAGTTTGGGTTTTCATCTTGAGATATAATTGTTTAATTACTTAAGCCCAAGTATGAGATTGAATTTTTATTTTGACCCTTGAATTAGGGTATTATTTTGCGTATTTCGTAGGTACTTTTGTAAGTTCATATTCATATGTTGGTACACTAACAGGTAAAATGTACCAACGTCTGTATCTATGTCTCCTTCTCTACCCGCATAGCATATTCAAATAATGTACCTAATTAAAGGATCAAAATCCAAATTCAATTTTAGTGCTTATTTGTAATGAAAAATTGTTTTATAAAAATATCAATCTAATTTTTTAAAGAATGTTCCACCATAAATTCAAGGTAACTTTAACGAATCCCGGTACTGTTCACTTTAACAAAAAGTCACAATTTACACTAAAAAGTTAATTATGATAATATTCACTTTACTCTTTATTTTGTCTGTATCGTTAAAACTCAAAGTTTTCAAACCATTTTCATTAGTTTTCATTAAATTCAATTAGTAATATAGAGAGTGATTTATCTTCTTATAATTACATAAGAAATGCTAAGGAGACTATTTTAAAAGTGGGACTCTTTGCTACCTCATATTTTGGGCACAATTCAAGTGCCAACATTATAAAATATTGTACAAAAAACGTAAAGTGTCAGAAAGTTCATGGAGAGTCCCAAGGCTCCTTAGGATTTCTCTAATTATATACATACAAGGTTCCCGAATTGTCCTCTATTGATTCAAACTTTCAATAATTATTTATTTATTTTTTGGGAAGATAAATGTACTGTTACTAGTTCTAATTGTGGAATTTTTTTTAATTGTGACGGTAATATGAATGATATTCTTCTAACAGGGACATATATGAACGATACCAATCGTCATATAGTGGAAAGATAGATATACACACCAAATTAATGAGGAAATACAGGGACATACCCAGCTGGTGGTTTCATATTTTGCTTGTGGTGTCGTTGGTACTTTCTCTAGCATTGTGCATTTTCATGAAAGATGAGGTGCAAATGCCATGGTGGGGACTCATTTTTGCTGCAGGAATTGCATTGATTTTCACCCTTCCAATCAGCATAATAACTGCCACAACAAATGTGGTAAGTATTGAACTCTTGAACCTCAATCCTTCTTTTGGTCACACTTGTTGCAATAATTCATGGATACTGGATATTAATTTTTGACACTCCTAGTTTCTCTTTATAATAAATTTATAATTTCTTTTTTTGCAAAAATCAGTTTTGCCATGGAGACACATAAGATTAATCCTTTGATACACTTTGTAATAGATGTGCGCACACATATATATGGGGACTATTTTTGCTACCACCGTATTTATCACCGTTAGATAAGTTTAAATTTAGAGATCTATGTAGTGGATAGACACAAATCTCAAAGTTTAAACTCATCCAATGGTGATATAGGGTAGTGAACATTTACACACTTGAGGGTGGTGAGCAAAAATGCATCCATATCCATGGTCCATAATTTGAGATCATGAATCTAAGAATCTCATCTCTTTCTAATTTTTTAGACACCGGGACTAAACATCATCACGGAGTACGTCATGGGTTTGATATTGCCTGGCTATCCTATAGCCAATGTATGCTTCAAAACATATGGATACATAAGTATGGCACAGGCAATTTCATTTTTGAGTGATTTTAAGTTAGGCCATTACATGAAGATTCCGCCCATATCCATGTTCTTAGTTCAGGTATGTATATATATATTCTTCTTCTTGTACAATTTACTTATTGGATACGATCATACTATAAATTACTTATACTTAGTAAATAACTAAATATTGTATATTCCACTTATTCAAATTACCTGAATCAGATTTTACACATGTATAATAAAAATGAACACCAATAAAACTATTTGTACCATCTAATCTGATCAGCAACAACTCTCGACAACATGCACATGTATATATATTATAACATGAATTGGATGTGCGTGTTTAAAGTGGTATTATAACATGAATTAGTATCGATCATATACATCTACGGTATCTGGTAAGAATGTGGATATTATTATTATTTTTTATATTATCACGTACCAACATGAATGTCTGACAATATATCTTACCAAATTAATACCAACAGTGTACATGTTAGGTATTGTAAATTAGTATTCGATACCAATAATCTGTTTCCTAGTTGAAATGTTGAAATGCTACGCTGTGGAAAATATTCAGCTACTATCTAACTCTTGATTTGTAATTTTCTTTTTCCTCCCATTATAAGTGCGTAGGAACTGTAGTAGCCGGAACCGTCAATATTGGGACAGCATGGTGGCTTCTAACTACAGTGAAAAATATTTGCAATACTGAATTACTCCCTGACACTAGTCCTTGGACTTGTCCTGGTGATAGTGTCTTCTTCAATGCATCTGTGATTTGGGGTCTGGTTGGACCGAAACGAATCTTCGGTTCCCGCGGACTCTACGGAGGACTCAACTGGTTCTTTCTGGTAGGTGCACTCGGACCTGTCATAGTATGGTTGTTTCACAGAGCTTTCCCCAGGCAGAAATGGATCGCCTACATCAACCTTCCAGTGCTTTTCGGATCAACCGCGGTGATGCCACCAGCTACAACTGTGAACTTTAACAGCTGGATTGTGGTCGGAATCGTTTTCAATTACTTTGTTTTCAGATACAGAAAGAAGTGGTGGCAGAGGTACAATTATGTTCTTTCTGCTGCCCTAGATGCTGGAGTGGCTTTTATGGGGGTGCTTATATACATATGTTTAACCATAAACGAGGTAAGCATTTCTTGGTGGGGTACACAAGACTATGACCACTGTAAATTGTCTACTTGTCCAACATCTAAGAGCATAGAACTTGGTCATGCTTGTGTATTCCCTTAAACTAGAGAGGTTTTTCAGTGTGCGCGAAACACGGTATAACATATCATGTATCATTATACAAGTGTTGAGATACTTGTGTTAAAAAACTAGTAACATAAAAAATAAAACATTCCTCTACTCATATAACGTCATGTGACATACCATCTGTATTCTAAGCTAAATGAAAAGTTTCTCTTTAAGCTGCTACATCATATGTTACTTTTGGATTTTGGAGTTGACTTTATGCAGCAAGGTTCATTTGAAGGAAACGACGTTGTAAATAATAAAATATGAATGAATGAACTTTCATTTCATCTGTCCAAGTAATATTGGTTCTTATATAATACAGTTGATTGTCAAAGCCTAATTTGCCCATTTGGGTGCACTGCTCGCTAGCCATTGCTAGAAAGTGGTGTGTTATTTTTTATTTTTTGTTTTGTATCAATTTATTCCAAAGGGTGAAAAGGAAATCTCAAAACATTGATTCCGTTCGAGAATATTCACAAAGGCTTCATGTTGTTTCACAATTTACCATTTGAATTCACAGTTTAAACGGAGCACTATTACCGTCGTCGCGCAAAGTCAAAAATACGTCGCCCAAAAATTAGCGAAATGAACCTTCGTCGCGCAAGAACCGTCGCGCGAAGGCAGTGAAGGAAGGGTTTGCGCGACGCAAGACATCCCTACGTCGCGCAAAGCTACTTTGCGCGACGTAGGGAGGTCCTGCGTCGCGCAAAGTTTTTTTTTTTTTTTGTGTCATTTATATTTTTTATTTAATTTTTAATAAATATTATAATTAAATTATTGAATATTATAATTAAATGCTAAACAATAATTAATAAACCAAGAAAAAGTAATTAATTATAGAATATATGAAAATGTACGTTTGTCCGAACAAAAAAATAAAAAACTACAAGTCTTCTAAGTTTAATACATCATGCTACTCGGTATCGTCTGGGCGAAATGGCTGGGAAGTCGAAGGTGGAGCAACATTAGGTGCTGGCATCGTCGGGATTTGGAGGCCGGACATCGCTAAGGCCTGAAGAATCATATTCATCCTCTCGCCCTGGGCCGCAACCTGACCTCTTAGGGTTGTCACTTCCTCCTTCAAAGAATTGACCTCTCCTGTGGACAAAAATTATAATGAGAACACGAGCAAGGCAGCCAATCTTCTCGAAACTGAATGTTTTGAGAAGCAAAAGTTTGCTACTAATTGAGATAATCCTTGGAGGTGCAAAGGTCGGCCCTTGAAGAAACGAGGAGTTATGTCCAAGAGGAACTCCAAGAAGAGATGTGGATGCCACAGCTCCTCCTAAAGCACACACAAGCTCTCCCTGCACAAAACCAAATAAAACCCAATTCACTAAAACCAATTCTAAAGTCCAAGAATGTACCTACACAATCCCATAAACTAAAAAAACCCAATTCCTTTTTATTACTAAATGCATACGAAAAGGTACTTAAAGGTCACCACCCATGCAAATGCAATGAGAGAAGAGATGCATGAAGGAGATAAATTCAGAACAGAGAAAAAACAACTTATGAGCAAGTGTATGTACTAAACAAGAAAGCAAAAAAAGATGCATAATCCTTCAGTAAATAATGGAGGTTCAAAGAACAAAATAGAATACCTCAGTTCAAATAAATAAACTTTAACAGCTTAATACCAATACAATACAGAAGCAGCACTCTAAAGCAAAAATTGGCAAAAGTTGGGTTGTTGAAAACAATAACAAGAGTTAGGATTACCTTTTCAGATTGAATACATATGAGTGAGATACTTCAAGCCAAGACAGAGACAACATCACATTACCAGCGAACCGAAAGCCAATAGATTAGGAGACTGCTGCAATCTGGAAACACAAGAATGAATTAAAACTACTATTTTGCACCTTTTACCACCTCTAACCTTCCATCCATTAAATCATGTTTTAAGAAATGTAGACGGGTATTTAAAATTTAGCGACCTTTCAGGATTTAGGACAAACAATTGTATAGTCTTCTTTAAGCAAAGTAGGCAAAAATTAGGGTCATTGAAAATGGAAAACTATTCTGGTAGAAGGACGCTGCAACAAATTGGAAGATTTAGGATCCAAGCAATGACATGGAAGAGGCATAATGAACCAACTGCTCCACTTTGAATACTAAAATTCAATAGTTAAAAGTTAAAACTACTAGAGTGCAGAACAATACGATAGCTACCCTTTCAGCAAAGAAAGCAGATTCGCTTCTATAATCCAACTCTTCTAACTAAACCACCTTTTCATCTAATCTCAGTGATTCTATTTTGAGAAACAAGTAACATTATTGCATTCAGAAGTCCAAAACTTTGCTACTAAAAATGACATAACTAAACACCACAATCGATCATTTTTATCATTTCAACCACCAAATATGTAAAATTTTCAACTACTTATACATATGAATTAATATTCTTTTTTTCATCAAATCTCAGTGATTAATTTCAAAATGAGGGTCGGGGCTCCAACTATAACAGTATTCTGAAATCGAAGAGAGAGGATGAGAAATTTTTACCTCTGGGTGTGTCGACTTCAAGATCGGAGGTTTGGCCTTTGGATCCGCTCGTGTGCAGCCTGATTCTCGCGAGATTTTGGCTCACTTTTCTGAGACGGTGGTGCAGGCGACGGTGCAGAACAATACGATAGCTACCCTTTCAGCAAAGAAAGCAGATTAGCTACCTTTTCAGCAAAGAAAGCAGATTTGAGGGAAATTATAGAGTGAGAAAAGGGGTCTGGGAAGAGGAGGAAGGCTACGGAAGAGAGAGACCGAGTGAGAGAGAGAGAGAGAGAAGGGGTCTGGGAAGAGGAGGGCGTGGGAATATTTAGTCCAAAATTATCAAAACTGGCGCTTATTTTTAATACTTGCGCCAAAATTATCAAAACTTGCGCGACGAAGGTATACAATTCACGTCGCGCAAGGTATTTTTAATTAAAAAAAATAATTATAAAAATTACTGAAAATGTGGCTTTACTCATTTTAAATTTTTTTTTTTACATAAAACTCACAATAATATATTTTTCTAATAAAAACCTGACTAATAAATTGGTAGCTATTTAATAAATATACATATCATTTAATTTCTTAAGTGTTATACGTAAAAAAAATTTAAATTTAAATTACTTAATAAATATATATACCATTTAACTTGATGCGATACGTATTGTACGAAACTAATTTCAACGATTCAACCGTCAAACTTGTTTGTATATGCTTCGAGATCACACATACAAAAAATCGAAAAAAAAAAAGGTTCAGAGATCAAGTAATGGGACAAAACTTTTCGACGGTTATAAACGAAAAATCACGATTTAACGGTAGTTTAAACTTCGATTTTGATGATTTTTTACAGTTACACCCCTTGATCCTACATGAATACAACGAATTGATTCGATCGTCAATTTAAAATATTTTACACAAGTGGATATCACAAAATCTTATGTTATACTTGATGAAAGTATAAATAAAATCGAAGTGTTAGGGAATCTAACGTTTTATTGAGATACGCATTGTACGAAACTAGTTTTCAACGATCCAACCGTCAAACTTGTTTGTATATGCATCGAGATCGCATACGAAAAAAAATCGCAAAAAACAAACCTTCAGAGATCATGTAACGGGACAAAACTTTTCGACGGTTATAAACGAAAAAATCACAATTTAACGGTTATTTTAACTCCGATTTTGATGATTTTTTACAGCTACACTCCTGGATCCTATATGAATACAAGGAACTAATTCGATTGTCAATTTAAAATATTTACACAAGTGGATACCACAAAATCTTATGTTATACTTGATGAAAGTATAAATAAAATCGAAGTGTTAGGGAATCTAACGTTTTATTGAGATACGCATTGTACGAAACTAGTTTCAACGATCCAACCGTCAAACTTGTTTGTATATGCATCGAGATCGCATACGAAAAAAATCGCAAAAAACAAACCTTCAGAGATCATGTAACGGGACAAAACTTTTTGACGGTTATAAACGAAAAAATCACAATTTAACGGTTATTTTAACTCCGATTTTGATGATTTTTTACAGCTACACTCCTGGATCCTATATGAATACAAGGAACTAATTCGATTGTCAATTTAAAATATTTACACAAGTGGATACCACAAAATCTTATGTTATACTTGATGAAAGTATAAATAAAATCGAAGCGTTATGGAATCTAACGTTTTATTGAGATATGCATTGTACGAAACTAGTTTCAACGATCCAAGCGTCAAACGTGTTTGTATATGTATCGAGATCGCATACGAAAAAAATCGCAAAAAACAAACCTTCAGAGATCATGTAACGGGACAAAACTTTTCGACGGTTATAAACGAAAAAATCACAATTTAACGGTTATTTTAACTCCGATTTTGATGATTTTTTACAGCTACACTCCTGGATCCTATATGAATACAAGGAACTAATTCGATTGTCAATTTAAAATATTTACACAAGTGGATACCACAAAATCTTATGTTATACTTGATGAAAGTATAAATAAAATCGAAGTGTTAGGGAATCTAACGTTTTATTGAGATACACATTGTACGAAACTAGTTTCAACGATCCAACCGTCAAACTTGTTTGTAATATGCATCGAGATCGCATACGAAAAAAAATCGCAAAAAAACAAACCTTCAGAGATCATGTAACGGGACAAAACGTTTCGACGGTTATAAACGAAAAAATCACAATTTAACGGTTATTTAAACTCCGATTTTGATGATTTTTTACAGCTACACTCCTGGATCCTATATGAATACAAGGAACTAATTCGATTGTCAATTTAAAATATTTACACAAGTGGGATACCACAAAAATCTTATGTTATACTTGATGAAAGTATAAATAAAATCGAAGTGTTAGGGAATCTAACGTTTTATTGAGATACGCATTGTACGAAACTAGTTTCAACGATCCAACCGTCAAACTTGTTTGTATATGCATTGAGATCGCATACGAAAAAAATCGCAAAAAACAAACCTTCAGAGATCATGTAACGGGACAAAACTTTTCGACGGTTATAAACGAAAAAATCACAATTTAACGGTTATTTTAACTCCGATTTTGATGATTTTTTACAGCTACACTCCTGGATCCTATATGAATACAAGGAACTAATTCGATTATCAATTTAAAATATTTACACAAGTGGATACCACAAAATCTTATGTTATACTTGATGAAAGTATAAATAAAATCGAAGTGTTATGGAATCTAACGTTTTATTGAGATATGCATTGTACGAAACTAGTTTCAACGATCCAACCGTCAAACTTGTTTGTATATGCATCGAGATCGCATACGAAAAAAATCGCAAAAAACAAACCTTCAGAGATCATGTAACGGGACAAAACTTTTCGACGGTTATAAACGAAAAAATCACAATTTAACGGTTATTTTAACTCCGATTTTGATGATTTTTTACAGCTACACTCCTGGATCCTATATGAATACAAGGAACTAATTCGATTGTCAATTTAAAATATTTACACAAGTGGATACCACAAAATCTTATGTTATACTTGATGAAAGTATAAATAAAATCGAAGTGTTAGGGAATCTAACGTTTTATTGAGATACGCATTGTACGAAACTAGTTTCAACGATCCAACCGTCAAACTTGTTTTGAAGAGAGAGATGGGCGATGGAGGTAGCTGCTGCAACTGGGTATGTAGTTTCTGCCTCCCAAACAGATCAAATGAAAAGAAAAAAAAGTTGGTGACTTTGCGCGACGCATGCCCACCTATGTCGCGCAAAGTTGTTTTGTGCGACGTAGGTGGGCATGCGTCGCGCAAAGGTGGGAAAAAGCGGTAAATTCTTAGGGTTTGGCGCCAAACGTTTGCGCGACGAATGACTACGTCGCGCAAAGCCGTTTTGCGCGACGTACGTACACCTACGTCGCTCAAAACGGCTTTCCGCGATGTAGTCCTTCGTTGCGCAAACTAACGTCGCGCAAAGCCGTTTTGCGCGACGTACGTACACCTACGTCGCGCAAAACGGCTTTGCGCGACTTAATTTTATGCGTCGCGCAAGTTTTCGTCGCGCAAACATGTTTTTGTACTAGTGGAGGCAACAAATTGTGAGAAAGTATAAGAACGCCCTTGAAAAGGGGCCATCATGAAACTCAGTGAAATTTTTAATCTATACAATTTTATCTACCTTATGAATGGGGAATGAGTTAAGCCTCACAATGAACTAGCCATAATAATTTGATTCAAAAAAGAATATCACTAAACCGTAGTTCTAAATGGCTAAACCTAGAAAAGTTCAAGTTGTTGTGACATATTTTACATAAATGCGTTGCAAATAGAGAAAAAGAGAGTTGGGGAATATCTGGGATGTGTACATTCCATCACATGTGCCTTTATTTATATTAAACTAAGAGGGATTTCTTGCTTTGCAATTAATACAATCATAAAGGAATAAGATCTTCTAATATTCCAAATACAATCTAATAATGATTTACACTATCACATATGTGCCAGAATTTATGTCACGCACTCTCTCTTGAGTGTGTAAATAAAATGTGCCAAAATTTAGTAAGCCTTTTCTCCTTGATCAATGGACCTAGTGGTTTAATCATATATATAATATACATATATATTACATAATATAATATAATACACTGCAAGTTTGATTAGGGAGCTCTTTCGAATCATATCGCATGAAAGTGAAGAAAGAATTATTAAAAAAATAAAAGAAAAGAAGTATTCTAGGTAATCATGCATACATATCTGATAAAATCTCAATTACTTAGTTCCTCATGTATGATTATACAAACTTAATTAAAATTTTGACGTCTTTCTGTCTTATATATTTATGTTACTTCCTATCAACTATTTTTGTTGTCATATGCTAATATTTTTATTTTGTTTCATGTATTAATTGTTCATGTCCATTTGATTGTCATATATGGTAGAACATAATCAGACAACCACTCCAAGAGAGCCTTTGCCAGCTGCTCTTGTAGAGCCTCAAAATGCTACAATTAAACCTTAGATACCATCTATTGAATTTTGATGTATATTTGCTTAATGAAACAATTACAAGATGAAACATATATATAGGGAAGAAAAAGATCATAAGCCTAATTTTGCCTAACTTACCTATCTTGCTTGACTAACCTAACTTGCCTAACTTTGAACAAGAAAGTTGACTAGCCTAATTTCACTAGTCATCCAACACCATTATTTCAACATGTTTATTTCATGCATTTTAACACTCCCCCTCAAGTTGGAGTGTGAATGTCGATGACACCCAACTTGCTAATTAAGACCTCAAATTGTGCCGAGCTTAGTGGTTTGGTGAACAAGTCTGCAGGTTGATTCGAGGTCCGTATGTAAGCTGTTTGCACCATTCCCATTTGAATCTTCTCACGTACTAGGTGACAGTCTATCTCTATATGCTTCGTTCGTTCATGAAACACTGGGTTCGAAGCAATGTGCATGGCAGCTTGATTATCACAAAACATTGTGACTGGTTGTGCATGATTTACTTACAAGTCCTTCAAAATGTTTCTTAGCCATATAACTTCACAACAAGTAGTAGCCATAGAACGGTATTCTGCCTCTGCACTAGAATGAGATATTGTGCTTTGTTTCTTCGTTTTCCAAGATATCGGTGCTTGTCCAAGGAAGATACAATAACCGATTATTGACCTTCTAGTGTCTTTACACCGAGCCCAATCAGCATCACAAAAGGCTTGTAATTGTAGTGAACCTGTAGAAGGCAAAAGAATTCCATGTCCAGGAGATTGTTTGATGTACCTGAGAACCTTATGCACCGCTTCAAGGTGTGGTTGTCGTGGCTTGTCCATGAATTGGCTCAACATATTAACCACATAAGTCAGGTCAGGCCGCGTGATGGTTAAGTAAATCAGCCTCCCTACGAGTCGCCTGTATGAAGAAGGATCATGTAGGAGCGTCCCATCAGTTTGTGTAAGGGACATGTTTGGTTCCATTGGTAATCGTGAGGGCTTCGCACCAAGGAACCCAGCATCTTCTAGTATCTCCAACGCATATTTGCGTTGGCACAAGGCAATCCCTTGTTTAGATCTTGCAACTTCTATCCCCAAAAAGTATTTGAGTTTTCCCAAATCCTTTAGTTTAAAATGTTGGGAAAGGAAGAGTTTAGTCTCTTCAATTTCTCTCAAATTGTTACCTGCAAGTATCACGTCATCAAACATACACAAGTAATGCCATAAAACTGCCTTGACGGTTTCGGACGAACAATGAGTAATCTGACCATGATTGATGAAAACCAGCAGTCTTGAGAGCACTAGACAGCTTGATAAACCATTGTCTCGAGGCCTGTTTTAAACCATAAATGGATTTGTGTAATTTGCATACTCGTGTCTCCCCCTTTCGTCCGAACCCAGGAGGCAAGGACATATAAACCTCCTCGTATAAGTCACCATGCAAAAATGCGTTGTTCACATCAAGTTGATGAAGATGCCAGCCTCGTATGGAGGCAATACTCAGGAGGACGCGGACGGTGGTGAGCTTGGCAACTGGAGCAAAAGTTTCCCGATAATCAAGCCCCTCAATTTGACTGTAGCCTTTAGCAACGAGACGAGCTTTGTAGCGTTCAACACTGCCGTCAGGTTTAAGCTTCACCTTATAGATCCATTTGCAACCGATGGGATGTTTATGAGGTGGTAAGGGCACAAGAGTCCAAGTGCGATTGTCATGAAGGGCAACAATCTCTTTTTGCATGGCGTCACGCCATTTTGGATCCTGAACAGCTTGCTTGCGAAAAACTGGTGGGTTCTTTGATAATGGTGAGGGTGGTGAGAAAGGTTTTGTGAGTGGGGGATACATGGTCATAAGATAAATAACGAGATATGGGGTGAGATGTACCTGATGACTGAACCATGCTTGTGGAAGATGTGGGAGCAACACGGGAAGGGAGGGCCACCTCAACATGAAAGTCCTGCAAAAATGTGGAAGTTTTGGTCGGTCGAGTGCTACGACGGAGTGGAGGTGGTTGGTCTGGTGATTGAGTGGTTGGAGGTGGTGAAGAGTGTAGGGTATGTGAAGGTGTTGATAAGGTATCTGGTGGTGGAGTTGTAGTAGGTAAAGGAGATGAGAGTGGTGTGATGTCGGCAAGTGTGGGAGAGGTGATGTTTATTTCTTCGGGTGCAAGGCTTGAGTGCGACTCAATGGGAGAGGTCAAGTCAAATGTGATGGGTGAGGGTGTAATGTTTGATGGAGACGGGGCAGCGGAAGTGGTATGATTTTGGAATGGAAAATGATCTTAAAAAAAACAACATCCCTAGAAACAAAAGTCTTATTGTGTTTTATATCAAACAATTTATAACCCTTTTGACCATAAGGATACCCAAGAAAAATGCATTGGATTGCACGGGGGTCGAATTTAGAGGGCCTTTGGGCGTGTGTAGAAGCAAAACATAAACTACCGAAAACCTTTAAATGGGAATAGTTAGGTGCTTTGTGAAACAGTTTTTCGTAAGGTGTTTTACCTTGGAGAAGTGGAGTGGGTGTTCTATTGATGAGGTAGGCTGAGGTTAAGATTGCATCCCCCCAAAAACGTTTTGGCAAACGAGCTTGAAAGAGCAAAACCCGAGCAACATTGAGCAAATGCCGGTGTTTACGTTCGGCAACACCATTTTGTTGTGGTGTGTTGACACAACTAGATTGATGTATGATGCCTTTGAGAGCATAAAATTGCTCAAGCTTAAACTCAGGGCCATTGTCACTTCGTATGATTTGAACTCTGGTATTGAATTGAGTCTCAATCATTTGAATGAATCCGACTAAAATGTCTTTTGTGTCAGATTTATGTTTCATCAAATAAACCCAAGTGCTTCTAGTGTAGTCATCTACGATGGTAAGGAAATACTTGGCACCTGAAATAGAAGCAACTTGATAACCACCCCAAATATCAATATGTAATAATTCAAAACATGATTTGGTAGAAATAGAGCTCAAAGGAAAGGGTGATCTTGTTTGTTTGGCCAATGGGCAAATTAAACATTTTTCCAAATCACAAGCCTTATTGTTAAATAAAGGTACTAACGAAGTGACTTTATGAGATGGGTGTCCTAGGCGTTGGTGCCAAAGCTTTGGTGAGACGGTTTGAATATTGTTGCATGTTCCTTTCTTTGATGGGTCGAGGTAGTAAAGTCCATCCCTTTCAGTTCCTGTCCCAATCATCTTCCCCGAGCGAAGGTCCTGAATGACACAAAATTGGGTGAAGAAAATGGTGACATATAAGGAATCATAGGCTAGTTTACTGATAGATATTAAATTCAACCTAAAGAACGGCACACATAGGACATTTTCAAGGATAAGATTATGAGAGAAAACAACTTGTCCAATGTGAGTGACTTTGGCAACGGAACCATTTGGCAGTTCAACTGTATGATTTTCAACAGCTCGTGAGTGTGTAAGGAGACTAGGACTGCAAACTATGTGATCCGTGGCACCACTGTCCAGGATCCAAATACTTTTGGTTCCTTTACATGAAAAAGAGAAGGCTTTACCTGAAAGTTCTTCATGACTAGGAAGATTACTGACTTGATTGGCAAATGATGATTTGTTCTTGTTCAACATCTGAAGGATTTGCTTGCAGTCCTCCTGAGAGAACGGGAAATTAGGCACTGTCTCTTGCTTGTTACTTTGTGAAACTTGATTCCCTTTTGAAGAAAAGAGACGATTGGATTCGGTCTCTGTGGCTGCTTTCCGTTTTCGACAGAAATCGAACGTGTGGCCTTTCCATCCGCAAAAAGTGCACTTGAGATGTGCACGACAATTTTTGGTGATGTGATTGGTTTTATTGCACTTTCCACATCGCATCTCCTTGTCTTCAGGTGTAGGTTCTCGCGACAGATTCTTCACTGCAAAGACAGCAGTTTCTAGTTGTGTGATTTTCCTATTGGAAACCTCTGCCTGGCGTTCATGTCGAAGGACCAACGCATATGCCTTGTTCACCGTAGGCAGTGGTTCAAGAAGAAGAGTATTGCTTCGAACCGTAGCGTACGATTCGTTCAGCCCCATAAGGAACTTCATGGTTTTCTGAGTTTCAACATATGAGTTCATCTCATTCTTTGTTCCACAACTGCATGCTGGAATGGAACCCAAAGTATCACGTTCATCCCATAAACTTTTAAGTTTAGTGAAGTAAGAACTTACACTCATATTGCTTTGGACGCAATCATGGATCTCGTTCTCAACATGGAACAGCTGAACTATATTCACATGTGAGAACCTCTCCTGCAGATCGGTCCACATTTGTCGAGCATCCTTGTAGTTGATGACACTCCCTGAAATCTCCTTTGACATGGAGCCTAGTAGCCATGTCTTGACCAAGTTGTTGCAGCGATTCCATTGCTGCAGCTCCTCAAAATTATCCTCACTTGGTTTGTTGATCGTTCCATCAACAAAACCAAGTTTGTTCTTGACCGTTAAAGCCATACTCATGGATTGAACCCATGTGTTGTAGTTGTCTTCCACCAATGGTTGTGGTACGAGGATTGCACCAGGTTGATCCGAGTGGTGGAGATAGAGCGGGTGGTTGGGATTTTCCCATTTTGAATGAGAGGCCATGCCTAGAATGGTTGACCTCGTGGCTGCTTTAGAGCTGTGTTTTATGGTTTTTCCCAGATCACAGCTCTGATACCATATTGAATTTTGATGTATATTTGCTTAATGAAACAATTACAAGATGAAACATATATATAGGGAAGAAAAAGATCATAAGCCTAATTTTGCCTAACTTACCTATCTTGCTTGACTAACCTAACTTGCCTAACTTTGAACAAGAAAGTTGACTAGCCTAATTTCACTAGTCATCCAACACCATTATTTCAACATGTTTATTTCATGCATTTTAACACCATCTAAACGCAAAAGAGTAAATGAACCCAAGTCTAAAGTTTGGGCACATTATGAAGGATTTCTAAATGCGGATGGAAGTAGGATTGCTAAGGCACAATTAATGCACCTATTGTAAGAAAATATTTGCATGTTCTAGCACCAATGGAACCACTACACTAAAAGGCATACAAAGAAGTGTAAGAAGTACCCTTATAAAGGGGACAAGAAACAACAACTCTTGTCTTTTACAACAGCAGAGTCTCTTTCTAATTGGAAATTTGACCAAGAGCATTGCCGAAAACTCTTTGCTAGAATGATTATTGTTGATGAATTACCATTTAGCTTTGTGGAGAAGGAAGGCTTCAAAACATATATGAATACTGCACAACCAAGATTTAAACTGTTGTACAACAACTACAAAAGATTGTGTCCAATTGTATGCAGAGGAAAGAAAAAAACTAAAGGAGATGTTGAATCTTCAAATTCGCGAGTGAGTCTCACAACTGACTTGTGGACTTCTATTTAGAATCTTGGATATATGTGTCTTACTGCACATTTCATTGACAAAGATTGGGTGTTACAAAAAAGATTCATAAATTTTCAAGTGGTTCCCACTCGTGATGAGGTAATTGCACAAGCTGTAGAAACATGTTTACTGGATTGGGGTATTGTTTGGACCCAAAAATTACATCATCGGCCCGTGTAATTAAGGTCATTGAGTGAGCATAGCTCCCAACCTTTGGATGAAAAAATGAAGATAATTTTGTTATTGTTAAATGATAATATTATGATTTTTATCATAATAATTATCTTTTAATATGAATTATCATATTCTTAAGCATGATAGATAGGATGTAGATTATATCCTCAAGCAAGCGGTGTAGTTCGAATGGGATTGGGATTCTTGTCATCGGGTTGGAGCAGCATGGGTTTGATCAGAATTGTTAGGATGCATGATCTTCATGCATGTATGGGATAATGATGAAGTAAAAATAATGTGATGTGATAATGACAAGTGAGGTGATATTGCAATCTGCTTGCAATTAGCATTGCATTTTGAAGTGTGTGGAATTAGATATCATGGTTGGATGAGTTGTTTTAATATTATTGGAAGGCCACGTTATTGGGCTCGACATAAGCGTTGAATTTCTATCAAGAAATTTAAGTTCACAAGGAGATCAAAAGGGATTTGGTTTGGTCACTGGTGGTATATCAAGAATATTCCGATTGCATCATAGAGAGACGGGTGCAATTTGGAAAACGTATTGGCAGGTCGCAGCTAAAGAGTATGAAGGAGACCTCCCTGCTATAAATATAAGACGATGTGTAACATGCAAAAGCTCCTCTAATTCAACACACAAAATTGTCCTGTGTAAACCCTCGCTCTACGTGAAACCTCTCAAACATCTTGAGATTTTTATTATCTTCTTCGCCGACACATCTTCAGTTTGGATAAACAGCACTGTGAAGGCCACTAGTGACATCTTCAGTTTGGATAAATAGCACTACGTCGAGGTCGACTGGTTATCTATCCAAGTCTCGGTCGAAAAGGGTTTTCAAATCCTTATTGGGAGATGTCATCTCTTTAGTCTTCTCGGCGAAATGAGGTGTTACAGATTACTGGGCTCCGCACAGTAAGTTTTAGAGTTCAGCATTCTGACAGTCGAACCACATTCACCATCAAGACATAGATCTCTTTTGAGTACTTGTGTCCGTATAGTTTGGAGCTGGTTCGACGTGCTTTTACTCTTACGAATATAATCACCGTGACCGAATCTGATGCCGACGATCCGTGAACTTCGCAAGACTAGCAACTTTGTCTTCAGGCTCTAGAACTTGAAGGTTGAGACGTGTTCCTTCCTCAGCCAAAATCGCAAGGTCGAGAAGTCAACAGTGCACCCAACGCAACATCAACATATTTTACTCCTCGGCCGAGCTCGGCCGACGAGTTGGCACACCCGCATACAACCGAATGACGTAATTAGCTCATTAGTTACTCGGCTTGAGCCCCACGTAGGCTTGATAATTTTTAAGGTCAACAGATATAAAAAAGTTATGCACACAATGCAAGTTCAAATGATACAGCAGCCACAAGTTTGGTTAAAAGGTTCAACAGCAACATAAATAAATATTCATTTTTGAGATCCACTGATTGCGGTATGATCTTATCGCACCCAGCCACAATTAAGACCACATCTTCTGGTCAAAATATTTGTTGCAAGGCTCAATAGTCCAAATACAAAAATAGCTAGAAGAAGTCCCGCAAGAAAACTTTTTCTGATATCCAATATCTCCTTACGTATCAGCTGGAAAATAAAATTAATGAATCTTACAAATATCAACCAGAAATGAATTTTGGGGTTGTATTTAATTGGAATTTTGAGGAATTTAATTCTTTTTATAAATATAGGGGTATTTAATTAGGATTTTAAGTGATTCTCTAAAATTCAAGGTATATGCAATCTGGATTTCTTATTAAAATCCTTATAAATCCAAGTGTATTCAATTATGATTAAAAAAAATTATAACTTTATAGGTGTATTCAATTAGAAATTGATTTTAAAGAATTTGAAAAAGTTGAGGAATTAGAGGGAATTGGAGAGTTTGTAGTGTATTTTAAGTATCTACAAATATTACATCTCTCCATGAAATTTTGAGAGAATTGAATCAAAATTTTATATGAGAAATCTCTACAAAGCAAATCCGTTAAAATATCTCAAATACCCAATTAAATACAAAGTTTGATTTTTTTTTCGACGTATGGTAGCAGTGCCATCTACCTAAATGATTACAAGAGAGAAATTTTTTGAAGACTATAGAGAAATAGAAAATTTAAATCTTGCCCAATTAAATACAAAGGTTGATTTTTTTTTGAACATATGGTAGCTGTGCCATCTACCTAAATGATCACAATAGAGAAAATTTTGAAGACTATAGAGAAATAGAAAATTTAATTGCAAAAGTTCCTTTTATCTAATTTTCTCTTGCTTTTTTTTTTTTATACGAAAACTCATAGGGAGTATTTGCATGAAAAGATTATCTCGAAGACTATAGAGAAATAGAAAATTTAATTGCAAAAGTTCCTTTTATCTAATTTTCTCTTGCTTTTTTTTTTATACGAAAACTCATAGGGAGTATTTGCATGAAAAGATTATAGAAAACTTCATTTTAATCCCTAAATAAGATTGCTTTTTCAATAATACCGTATGTAAGATTAAAAACTAAAAATAGTCCTCCATGTCAGATTATAGTATTCCATGTCACATTTAATCATTTTTTAATAAATTTATTGCATTTTTAGTTTCCTTATTTACCCTTATTACTCTCTTAAAACCAATTAGAGAAACAAATATATAATTAATTTTTCAAGAATGCTTAATTAACTAGATCCATAATTAACATGTTTGTTATAACATAAACCTCCATGTGTTATTCCAATCAAAGAACCTAGAAAACTCAGAAACCATGATCAAACAAAAAAAACCATAAAACTTACAAACCAAAAATCTCGTTGTATTCGGAAGAAAGAAGAAAAAAAGGGCTTTTAGATGCCAAATTGACGGTGAATCTAGAGATAAATGAAAAAAAAATACAAATTGAGAAAATAGAATGTGAAATCACAACTTAATTGACCGTACCAAATTAATCGGACATACACTATATAGTACCTAACCGACCATACCGAATGGATAAGACCTAATTGATAGTACCTAAATGATTAAGGTGCATTCATATAGGTACTATGATTTAGGTGCATTCATATAGGTACCATGGTTTAGGTGCATTCATATAGGTACCATGGTTTAGGTGCATTTGACTTGGTACTATGATTTATGTACATTTGACTTAGTACTATGATTTATGTGCATTCGACTAGGTTATATGATTTAAGCACATTAGGACATGTTTTAAGTGCATTCGATTATGTATAATATATGATTTGGCTATTTATATTTCCTCTATGCTTTGAATGGTGATAATGAATAATTTGAATTAGGTATTTGTTAATTCTTGTAACGTATCACTAATATTTTTTTGAATTATGTTTATCATTTTAGAAAGTTAGACAATAATCAATGCCAAAAAATATGGAGCAAATTAAAATCAAATATTTAATAGGGGCATTATAGGAACCAAAAAAACGCATTAAATATTTAAAAACAAGAAAATATAAATTTTAATATTTATGCTGACATGGAAATTTAATCAAAGGACTATAATGAATATATAATCTAACATAAGGTTTTAATTGAATTTCAATCTTTATCAAGGATTAAAATGGAGAAACCCCAAAAAAAGACTAGCAACGACTCTTTTAAATATTCAAACTTTAGGAAACTAGATATTAATCCTTGAAAAAGATTATCTTTAGACTAAAACCTTAACCAAGATAAAAAACTAATTATAGTCCTTTGACTTATGTACAAGTCAGCATTTATATTTAATGTCAGAGTTAATTCCTTTTATGTAGTTTTTTTTCTTCCTATATTATCCTTGAATGAATTATAATGTCTTATATTTATTTTATTTATAACTTTTCATTTTTATTGCTAACATAAATGATTCTCCTTAAAAATGAAACTTTTTGTCCAACCCAAAAAAATTATCTTCAACCGTGTAAGAAGAAAGGGCTAGGGCCACCATCCACATCTAATATTTCTTCTTCTTATGCATCTAATAGTGCATGATTTACTTTTATCATTTTTTTCTAGTGTTGATGATTTATTTTTACCTTCTCATACATTGAATCTACCAATTTTTTCTTTTGATGTTTATGTATCAATATTTGCGCACCTATATATATGTACATAAGTATCGACACTTCCACACTGATACTTTCGTACCGATGCTAACGTATCAATATTTTCGTACCTATATGTATGTACCTACGTGTATGTACCTATATGTATGTATGTACCTATGTGTACGTATGTATGTACCGGCACTTCCATACCGATACTTTCTGTACCTATGTGCATGTATGTACCTACACATATGTACCGACACTTATGCAATTCCTATATATAGACAATAAGGAGTTGTTATACTTTTTTTTTTGTGATATATATATATATATATATATATATTAAGGGTTATTATTTAATTTTTTTAACCTATTGTTTTTGTAGTTGATTTTTTCATCTTCGACTTCTTAAGGTGACTGACCTAAAATTACTATAGACTTAATTTGTTTGTCAGCAAGTATAAATTCGTATAATTTACCTTAGTTGGATTTATCTTATTGACAAATGGTTTATTAACGGAATATATTTAAGCCTTAATTATAGAATAGGTTGACAATTTAAATGGCAAAGTTTGTAAATATGGTAGGTAATAGAGGTATCTTATAATATGATGTGGCGGTGAATATTAAATTAGGGACTAAAATAAGATTTTGAAACCCATTAAGGTTATAATCTAAAAATTATCTTATATAGGTCCTAAAATCTAAATACCCCAAAAGATTATCTCGTCAATTCCCGACGACTTTTAATCACACATTAAAACGACTTTAAAGTATTTGAAAACAAACAAACAAAATCCCTCAAAAACCTCTTTTTACACTCTCACTCTTTTAGTCCTTTCACTCTCTCTCTCTCTCTCTCCCAGTGCCATTGCCGCCATGTCCACCACTCTTGAGATAGAGCCGGCCACAAAACACGACGAAAACGACGTTTCTCCGGTCGAAGAAGTCCGTTTAACTGTCTCAAACGACGACGATCCCACCCTTCCAGTATGGACCTTCCGAATGTGGACGCTAGGCCTCGCCTCCTGCGCCCTCCTCTCATTCCTCAACACTTTCTTCTCCTACCGCACGGAGCCCCTCATCATCTCGATGATATCCGTACAGGTGGCGACGCTCCCCATCGGACGATTCATGGCGAGGGTGCTGCCGAAGCGGAAGTTTCAGATAGGGTTGAAGGAGTTCTCGCTGAACCCTGGTCCGTTTAACATGAAGGAGCACGTGCTGATATCCATATTTGCCAATGCTGGCTCCGGATTCGGAAGTGGAACGGCTTATGCGATTAGCATTGTGGATATAATAAAAGCGTTTATCATAGAAAGATCTCGTTCTTGGCCAGTTGGATACTTGTTATAACCACGCAGGTAACAATTGATTAATGTATTTATTAGGGGTTGATCTGCTGTTGAGTGCTGATTAATGGTAATTAAGGGCTGCAGGTATTAGGGTATGGGTGGGCTGGTATTCTCAGAAGGTACGTGGTGGATCCGGCGGAGATGTGGTGGCCGAGTAGTCTCGTTCAAGTCTCCTTGTTCAGGTAATTTAGAGCCAGAGAGATTTTTCGGTAGATCCAGAATACTATCACCTAATTGTTAGAATTTTGGCAAGAAACAGAAGAAGAAAAAATGTAAAATGTTAGTCAAACTCCACACTTTCACAATTCTACGCTCACAAAGCACGTCGTTGAAGATATTAAGGGGTGTGATCATAGACTCTTTTTTATTTTTTTTCATACGTTTTTTGACCGTCGAATAAGATAAATTGAAAAAAATCAAAACATTGAAAAAGATCAAAACATAAAAGTTAACAAGCTAACAAGCAGTGTGAAAGAAAAAAAAAACAAGGGGATAGCACACCCCCATTTTCAACACACGCTCCTTGACTTGACTTGGTGGAGATTCCCTCTCCTTCCTAGTAAAGCATGTGGCCTCTTCTACACCAATCATTTGTCTTGGTAATTTATATTAATATTAATACAACAACTTTAACATTAATATTTCAACACTAGTGTCACTATTGCATATACATTTCATCGGCCCAACTTAGCGCTACTCAAAATAGGTGTGACTTCTTTATATTCTTAATAAATGTTTGATATATTAAATTTATGACAATGAAGTTAAGAAAAGTTAAGTTTATAAATACATGTCATTCATTTATTGGGGCTTCAGAGAGACTAAATCCATTTTGAGTGCAGAGAATTTGGTCTTATGCATGCATGAGTGCTTAAAAGTAGCCACTTGTGATGGTTTGATGGTGGGGTAATACTAGGGAGACTAAAACTTTTAAACCAAATGATATGGTGATTGATCATTGGATTATTACTTAAGTGTTGATTAACGTGCTTATTTCCTATTGATGACACATCATTTTATAAATTTAGTTTAAAATTTTGATCCCCCTAGCATGATCCTTTATGGCATCTGCGCCAACTTGCGACTCATTCTAATTTCTAACAGTACTCAATGTTGATAAGTAGGGTTTAATCTTGTGATGTATCTGAGTTGTACGTAGTATGTAGTAGTCTTGAGTTGTTATAGGACTCTTATATGCATAGGTGTTCTATGTTTGAAAAGTTTGTGTGTCGTTTTCCACCAAACAATAAGATGGCTACTATTAATTTGAGTAATGCTGCTTTAGACAAGGCTACATTGTTGGTCATCATATAAAATGGGTCTCGGATATAATGTTAAGGGCATTAAAAGTGTTATTCTTGATGCCCCCATGCCTTGAAAATGACTCATTAAAACACCAATTACCAACTATCCATGCATGCATGTATTTTATTTTAGTTTTTGAACAAGAAATTAATAAGTAACAATGTCTCTAATTTTTCATTTTTCATTTTCCTTGATATGAAGGGCTCTACATGAGAAAGACAACAATCGAATGTCAAGAGGGAAGTTCTTTTTTATAGCACTCGTATGCAGCTTCGCTTGGTTTGTCGTCCCCGGCTATCTTTTCCCAACCTTGTCAACAATTTCATGGGTTTGTTGGATATACCCTAAGTCAGTCACTGCCCAACAAATAGGGTCAGGCATGGGAGGACTTGGCATTGGAGCCTTTTCACTTGATTGGACAGTCATAGCCTCCTACCTCTACAGCCCTCTCATCAGCCCTTTCTTTGCCATTGTCAATGTTGCTGCTGGCTATGTTCTTGTTATGTACATGTTACTGCCAATTGCCTATTGGGGTGTCAATTTGTACAATGCCAAGAACTTTGCAATCTTCTCTTCACATTTGTTTGACGCCGGTGGCCAAATATATAATGTCTCCGCCCTTGTGAATAACAAGTTTGAGATTGACATGCCTGCCTATGAAAGACAAGGACGCATAAACTTGAGTGTGTTCTTTTCTTTGACATATGGCATCGGTTTTGCGTCTGTTGTCTCGACCCTCACGCACGTTGCCCTATTCAACGGAAGGTAAATCAATTGAGTATTGCTATTTGTATCATCGCAACTGGTTATCTTGTATATCATCTCTTTAATACATGGCGAGGCTTATTATTGGAAATGAATGAATTAATATATACAGCTGTTGTTGTTCCAACAGAGAGATATATAAACAATACCGAAGGGCATCACAGAGTGTAAAGGTGGACATACACACCAGATTAATGAGGAAATACAAGGACATACCTAACTGGTGGTTTCATCTTATGCTTTTGGTGTCCCTGGTACTCTCTCTAGTGATGTGCATATTCATGAAAGATCAAGTCCAAATGCCATGGTGGGGACTTATTTTTGCAGCTGGACTTGCATTAGTTTTCACTCTTCCTATAAGCATTATAACTGCCACAACAAATCAGGTAAGCTTTCAACCCACTAGCCATCTAACTTGTTTTAGATTTGTTTTAGCTATATCATATATGTACTCTCTCATATGACCCTTTACCGTGTACAATCTCTCTAACAAAGGTGAGACCTAGTTATAAAGGTGGGTCAGTGCATGGCTAGGTCTCATACAAATAGGTTCCGTCTCTATTAGAGAGGTTGTACCCTAGATGGTAACTATAGTTGAGATGGTGCAAACAATTGTTTTCATGTGTGATTTAGTAGCCTTCGGATTTTTTTAAATCTGAAGTCTATTCGAACCATCTCAAAATTTTTATTCTTTCTATATGGCAGTCTCCAGGACTAAACATCATCACAGAATACATTATGGGATTGATATTACCTGGCAAGCCAATAGCCAATGTGTGTTTCAAAACATATGGATATATAAGCATGTCGCAGGCAATTTCCTTTCTCAATGATTTTAAGCTAGGTCATTACATGAAGATCCCACCTATATCCATGTTCATAGTCCAGGTACATCTTCTTGACTTGCCATTTTTCTAATTGTAGGATAAAAAAGGGAAAATTAGTATTCGGTCTCTAATTACTAATGTTTATTGACTGAAATCTTATTAGTTTTCATATTTTGATCTAAGTCCATAAGATTAATGTAATAATGAATTTACATGTTTGTTACATAATTTTTTAAATAAAAATTAAGAATTGATTTAGAATATTAATACTCACACCTTTATTAAACTCCTAACTAATTTTCAATTCAAAACATTTCCAAAATAAATAAATAAATTATAATAAGTTTGCACCCATTATCTTTTTTAAAAAATGTTGTCAAATTTTTAATCTTATATGTACCCATTCATGTAATTTTTTTTTAACTTTTAATCTTAAAATGTACTCATTCTTAAATATACCAAATTGTTATATGTGAAATGTACCATTTTTTTTATATAAAATATGTTCAATTTTTTTTTCTAGTTCATTTTTAAACTGATATGGGTACATTCTTTTTTCTTGGATTTGAGAATGTATCCCTATCAAGTTTAATCAAAGAAATTTACTAATGTTATTAAGCCTAATATCTTTTGTTTTGTTTTTTTTTTTTTGTTTTTGTGATTTTGAAGAATGTACCCATGTTTTGGTACAATAATATTTTGGTTAATTTTGATGAATATACCCATGTTTATACACACACACACACACACACACACACACACACACACACACACACACACACTAGTATATTTATATTTTAATATTTTTAATCCCACAAATTATGGTTTTTTATTTAAAATCTCATTAATATAAATAACTATAAATTTCAATTTTTTATTTTAAAAATATAGTAACATACATAGAAATAAATTATCACATTAATTTCAGGGACTTCGATCAAAAATTGAAAACCAACAAGGTTTCACTCAAAGAATATTCATAGTTAGGGACCGCATCCACAGTCTATCATAAAAAAAATATCATAACCATACTAATTAAATATAATCAGATAATTTCAATGTGTATCATGCTGCTATCAGTTGAAAATAATCCCTCAAGATGAGGAGCATTTCTTAAAGGGAAATTATTTAGGCACACCATTTTTTCACTTCATTCATATGCAGTTTTTTATTTTGGAGCAATATTAAAAATATGAAAATAATAAAAGAATTTCAATGAAAGTATTCATAAAGAAAATCACAACATCAATTATGTATGAGATTAATATAAACAATTAGAGATAAAGTTAGAAAAACTGACAAACTTGGAGATTGAGGCTTGCATAAATGCAATGTCCTAAAGAAAGAATTCCGCCCCTACTCTTGTGCTTGTAGTTCGATAGGCGTCTATCTCCCAGGATTCAACAATCTATAATCCGAAGTCAAAGCACTTCAATCTTCGGACTCTGGCGAACTTTATATATTCCGTACTCTCAAGACACGACTCGGAATTTGACACGAATCATTTGAGAAACAAAGTGGGGAAACCCTATTTCTCAAGAGTAAAAATTAACTCTAATTTTCTATATATTATACCAATGGTTTCATGGGTTTATATAGAATCTAATTTCTACTTATTAAAGAGATGTAACTTTTCATCTATAAGTATACATCACTTATCAAGGGAATACACCTAAACAACATAACCTTTCTAAGAAATTGGTTAACACTATTTTTTCTTCAATTATTAAAATTATATATTACAATATTTCATATTATAATATATAATTTCTAACAATCCCCCACATGAATGAAAAATTAAGAAGAATTTGAGAGTACATGCGGACAAGAGATGCATCGGGAAATGTGTCTTTTGGACTTAAACCTACCCTAGTGAATACTTATCGGGTTTACTTGGTGACGCAGTGGATGTAGAAAATCTTGAACTATTCACCGCAGCAGTAAACTGAGACAATAAGCAACACACATCACTAATCCTAATATATTACGGTTCATACGGTTGTGTTCATTTTGGTCCTGAACAAATCCCGGATTCATGAGAGCTTTAGAGAATTTAGCCATTTCATTCTCATAGAAGCGACCCATTTCTACTCTCACATAGGTGACCACTGATTAAGAATAGTCTGCTCTATTCCTCTAATTTATAAGATATCACTGTCATTAAGTATAAATATACACCCTAAAACTTCTGCAGACAACACATTTCTTCCATCATAGGAATGAGGTATATAGTGTGTTAACTTCTTTGAATCATGCCCAACCAGTTTGCCTATTGAACTTAGACCATGGGATCTCCAATCAACTAAGTTAGGTTTTCGCTCGGCTGATTCATTAGTTATGTTGGCTTTAGCCTCATTCCCCTCGATGATCAACTTACTCTTTAGTCAAACCTTTAATAATTGGATCCACTACTAGGTTGACTATATCTTTAATGATGTGCACAATCCATCTTATGAAATTATATTTCATACGAGAGTAGTTGTTTTCCAATATTAAGTCCTCAAAACATATGTTCAGACTTACTAATAAGTAATTTGCTGACACTTGGGCATGTTCCCCCACATTTAAGGTATTTAAAGAAAGATCTCTAAAGCTTTTCATACCTTAAAATTACATATTATCACGTTTAGGTAGCAAATACTTCTTGTTAAGTAAATATCATTATATCTTAATGATATTTTAAGTTACCCCCACAATTTTCTCACAATTGTGATTGCGGAAATGCATGAGATTAGTAGAAACATATGAAACTATTCTAACTTCTTAGGCCTTAAAGCCTCACTAGTCTTTTAAGATAAGCACCTCTTTAGACCTTAGTCTCCTCTGCTTATCAATTCAACCGTCATTTTTCTAAGATGAAAGCAATTCATCCATAATGAGTTCAAGCTCAACGGTCTGATTATTCTTTTTCTTATCACAAAATCTTTCTTGCCATGTCCATCCATGATATAACAAACTCATTCATTGACAAATTTGAACGCACTTCTTTTGGCCGGTATGCAAGTGTATGTACACTTTCTATGAACTTGCAACTCTGACTAGTTGCAACCTTCATGTAGTTAGACAATGTCTCTTATTTTGCAAGATAATTTGAAGACTTAATCTTCAAGTATCTCAAATAAGGACATGCTTGAAGACTTAATCTTCCAAATTTTGCAAACATGTATGTGTCTAACTTGTATACCACATTCTAGTGCCTATCATTTAATGATAGGAGTGGGTTAGGTTCCATTCCGTTTGGTTTTTAACCCCAAACACACACAATTTGGTTGAAGAGGAAATACACTAAAAACCTCCAGGCCCTCATGTCCATTAGATTTTACTAGTGTTGTATTTTTCTCATGACCAACAGCCTGGACAAATGCAAGCATTATATGCTTCTCAAATATTCTTGCACAAATTCAAGTATTTATGTGTATGAAATGTTCATGTTTATCTTGTTAGCGAAAGTAGAATATTGCTTCGCAATGGATACATCCATTCAAATGGAGACCCATATATGTTCCTCGGTTCACTACCAAACCTCACCAATCATAACTGATTGTGTTGGTTAAAAGCACGAAATGCCTTTTCATGAAATTGTGTTCCGTAAAAATTAAACACCAAATCCGTAGGCAAATCCAATCAAATGAGCGCCTAAAGGCAAACCCAGGAAAGAAACATGCATGCATACTTATAAATACATGTAGTGCCCACAAACATACTTATCAGTTCCTTCCTGTAATCTTTTTGCATGTCGAAGACAAATAACTTGCCTTATCCTTGTCACAACCCACCCCACACAGGGTGGCATATATAATTCAAGTAATAAATGAATTAAACACAACGATTGAAGCAGCCATGTATTTCAGAGAAATACATTCATGCAAGGATCCAAGTGCATCAGATCCTTCAAACCAAAGACATGATTGAGTATTGACTTACAAACTGCTCATGATGCTCCACATTGTTCTTCGAATATACAGATACGATATAACATATATATGTCATTAAATGATAGCATGATATAAGTCCTCCCCTTGGCCTTATCATCACGAACCCAAACTATAAAGATTCTATAGTTTTATTTAAACATACTGGTATGTTTCCACCAACAGACATAAGTCTATGATGAGTTAAAGCCCCTGAATAGCCGAACTGTTTGGCAATCTCCAAATCCACCAAATATAAAACTGATATGCCATTTCTGATCAGTTTGGCACAAGTTCTTAGCCGCATATATATCAATCAAATGCCTCAAATTCAAATGAAGTTCCTTCCTTAAAGAGGAACTTATCCCAGGTATGGATATTAATCTGCAGTATGAACTACCAAATAAAGCATATTTATGTTTAGTTTTATTTATTCAAAGAGTATGAACAACCATGTCAAAACATATAATCGCAAAACCACAAATCAGAGTTACAAACATGATTGTATATGAAACACAAGTATTAAACAGACACCATTCATTTGTGTCTCTCAGTCTTTCTTTACCAGAATGCATTGACTTATTGCCATAATAACTGCCAATATTTAAAATCATACTATGCAAAAGGCACGAATCAAGAAAAGGCTAATACTTACCTTCCCCTTTGCTTTTCCCGTAAACTGCATATGCATCTTACAAACACATCATATTTTCTAATTATTCCAAATAAAAATTCTATCTTTAGATTGTTGGAGCAATATTAGAAAATATGAAAATAATAAAAAAAAATTCAATGAAAGTATTCATAAAGAAAATCACAACATCAATTATGTATGAGATTAATATAAACAATTAGAGATAAAGTTAGAAAAACTGACAAACTTGGAGATTGAGGCTTGCATAAATGCAATGTCCTAAAGATAGAATTTCGCCTCTACTCTTGTGCTTGTAGTTCGATAGGCGTCTATCTCCCAGGATTCAACAATCTATAATCCGTAGTTAAAGCACTTCAATCTTCGGACTTTGGCAAACTTTATATATTCCGTACTCTCAAGACACGACTCGGAATTTGACACACGAATCATTTGAGAAACAAAGTGGGGAAACCCTATTCCTCAAGAGTAAAAATTAACTCTAATTTTCTATATATTATACCAATGGTTTTATGGGTTTATATAGAATCCAATTTCTACTTATTAAAGAGATGTAACTTTTCATCTATAAGTATACATCACTTATCAAGGGAATACACCTAAACAACATAACCTTTCTAAGAAATTGGTTAACACTATTTTTCATTCAATTATTAAAATTATATATTACAATATTTCATATTATAATATATAATTTCTAACATTTTATTTTTTATTTTTCTTGCCATTAAATTGAACAGATCAAAACAAAATTAAGAGAACAAAATTATGAAGGGTCCCGTATTTAAAATGAGACACAGTACTCGTATAACTTGACTAACGGGAAATCAGTGTTCTCTTACTCTGGAAATAGAAAATGCTTATGGTGTTGGACTAAGAATATGGATCACCGATCATGTTAATTGCATGATCCAAACTTACAGTTCTGACAATACATACAACATCACTCATTACTTGAATGCTAATCTGTCCTTTCTTGCTTCACAAAATTAAAGTGCATAGGAACAATAATAGCTGGAACAGTCAATATAGGAGTTGCATGGTGGCTGCTGTCTAGCATTGAAAACATATGTCAAGATCAATTACTCCCTCCCAACAGTCCTTGGACTTGTCCTGGGGACCGTGTCTTCTTTGATGCATCTGTGATTTGGGGCCTTGTCGGACCAAAACGAATCTTTGGCTCTCTCGGAAACTACAAAGCACTCAACTGGTTTTTCCTCATAGGTGCATTGGGACCTCTATTGGTCTGGTTGCTGCACAAAGCTTTCCCAAGTCAAAAGTGGATCAAACTGATCAACCTCCCAGTACTTTTGGGAGCAACAGCTGCAATGCCACCAGCTACAACTGTGAACTTCAATTGCTGGATTGTGGTTGGAACTATTTTCAACTACTTTGTTTTCAGGTACAGAAAGCAGTGGTGGCAGAGGTACAATTACGTTCTTTCTGCTGCCCTAGATGCTGGAGTGGCTTTCATGGGGGTACTTTTGTACTTTTCTTTGACCACTTACGAGAAGAGCATATCCTGGTGGGGAACAAATGGTGAACACTGTGATTTGGCTACATGCCCCACAGCCAAAGGTATAGTTGTTGATGGTTGCCCTGTCTACTAATTCCCATTTCAAAAGAGATTTTAATTAGTATATATATTTATATGAAGAATGAACCAGTGTTCTTGATGAGACTGAATTCTATATTTACACGTTATAATTTTACCAACGATGCTGCTTCTAAATTAATACCTGGTACGGGAATTAGTTTGGGAAAGTCTTATCACGAGTGAAAATAGGCTGGTACTCCAGATACATTTCACAGCCCCGCTGGGCAATCTAAACTGAATCAAAATGCTGCTTATTCCTCTTCTGGTTATCCAAATGTGATTTATATTTATATATATTGTGCTCTTTGGTAAAGAAGTATTATCGATTGCAAACTCTGATCACAGCCCAATCATATTTGATTCAGAACTACAACCTATTAAACGTAAATCTTTATTTCTTTTTAAAGAACATTGGACACATGATCATTACTTTTTAACTCTGTTAACACAAGCGTGGAAATATAAGCCTTCTGCTCATAGATAATTATCTGACATTCAAGAACACTTTTCATTTAATCGTGACAGTAATCTCTATTGGAAAGAACGGGAAATAACTCAAACTTAGCAGTTTAACTTTACTGGAAGAGGCCTATTCCACACAACGGGCTCGAATTAATTGGCTCAAGGACCTGATGGTTTTCATGGTTTTTTTTTTCAGCGTTATTGGGATCAAATTAAGGGTAACATTTATGACATGTGTGGAGTGAAAAATAATACAGAAAATTTTAGAGTCGACACATGGATTTTTACATAATTGACGAGAATACCCTAATTAAATTGGCGAGACCCACATCCACTCTACGTGCAGTTCAACCCTCGAGAAGACATGAGCTGCTAATTACGACTACAAACTCTCCTGCCCATGGCAAAGAGAAAAGTCAAAAGTATTAAAGATATGATCAATTACTAAATCTTATTTTTAATACTCTACTAATTGAAGAACAACTCAATTAACACAACCATATCCAACTAAGGATATTTCAAATAGGGGTGGGCAAACAGGTCATGGACTTGCTGGTTGAGGCAGGTCTAAGAGGTTACGGGCGGGTTAAGGGCGCGGGGGGGGGGGGGGGGTCAATGTAAATAGCGGGGTGGGGCAGGTCAAAATATTTGAGGACACGGGCTCTCAGCCCAGACCGTATCAACACTCCAACTTTTTATTGAGTAAATCTCCACCGTCCATGCCCATTTTCCACACATATCACAAATCACAATTCACACGGGTCTCTCTCAGTTTCTCGATCTCTCTCTCCATAATTCACACACCATCCGCCCTTCGTCGTCGTCGTGAATGGGAATTGCTCGTCGGTGGTTCATCGTTAACTCCTTCCCTCAGCGCCTCTCAACTCAACTGGAATTTGGGTTTGCTTCTCTGCTTGAGTGGGAATTGCTTCTCTACGGGATTTTTTTAGATGCAAAACTCTTTATGGATTTTATGCAAAATACTTTCTATGGGACATCTCCACGGCTAATTGGTCCAAAGCAACGCTTTCTGGGTTTTTTGTGAATTGTTTTATGCCAAATGCTTTCTGGGTTTAATCAAATTTTGATCAATACCATAGTAGTACACCAATCAATACTAAGTTTATTGTACTACAGTACTACATCTCCACCTAAATTAACAACCCCTCTCTCTAGATCTTTTCTTTTTTTTAATCATCATGAATGTTAGATTATTATTTTTTTAAGAGAGATTACTTTATACATATGAAACCCATCTAAAGGAAAAAAAAATAGACCCGTGGACCCGTAGGAACCGGCCCGTTTCAAATAGGCTGAGTTAGGATCTGTATCCATTTTTCAAATTTCTATTACCCGATCCGCCCCACCCCGTTTTATTTTCAAACCGGTCCGGTTCGATTCCTCTCATTTTGGGCCCAGCTCGGCCTGTGCCCAGCCCTAATTTCAAATATAATTCCAAGATATTATTTATTAAATAATATCTTTGAGATAATTCTTTGCTCATCCATCCTACGCATGACTCATCTTGGCCAATCGACTGCCGACACATGTGGCCGGCCTAGCTCTTATAAATACCTCGTCTCCACCAATCTCTAGTAAGCTTTTGCTATGCACTACACTCTCTCTCTTTTCAAAGAATTTGACTTAGCCATCGGAAATGTATTGGCCAACACCCCCCACCTCATGGGTGTGTGAGGTTTTGGCCTTGATCAAAGTGCTTATTTGTCTTGTAGATACAATTTCGTCAAAGCTAAAGATGGCGAATTTCGCTACCACAACATGGTCAATGCTTTTTATGATGGAGGCTCTGTTGAAATACTAAACCATACTTATATTACCTTAATTCCTAAGAATAATCCTGCTGAAACTTTTCATTAGTATCGACCCATTAGCTTACATAATGTGACATAAAATTATTTCTAAATTACTTGTTAATCGTCTCTGTCCTGTCTTAAATACCTGTATTTCGCAATATCAAGCTAGTTTAGTTGCTAATAGATTATGTAATGTAAGCTTCTTTGTACATTTCCAAAGAATTTTTTAAATAACAAATAGCTTGACTATAAAATTAGATGTGGAAAAACCTTTATGATAGAATTAATTGGGACTATCTATATTAATCTTTAAAAAAAATATGGTTTTGATGATAAATGGATTAACTAGATTATGCATTGTGTTTCTTCCGTATCGTATTCTATTTTAATTATGTAATAAAACCTTCTAAAGGATTTAGACAAGGCCACCCTATATCGCCTTATTTATTTATTCTTTGTATTGAGTTTGGAAAGAAACTTTAGTACTCGATCATTTCTTCTTAAAGAATTAGTTGGTGTTGGTCTCACAATTGTTCTCGACCACAAGCTGAAGATTTTGGGATGTCTTGGTCCTTCTTGATTTGTGCGGGCGTGCCAATTCGAGGCCTAAGATCAAGCGATTAAAGATAAGTTTGTGATCTTGGTTGTGCTTTGATTTGACTTCTTTCAATGCGATTATTGACCGGGGAAGGAACCATCTCAGTCGTAGGTTCTTCAATGCATCGGGCGCAAAGACTTTTGAATATGCGTTAGATGGACATTGAGTGGGTGTTGTCCGTGTGTACATGATGAATGAATGGATAGGTGGAAGCAAATTTGGTGATTGATATGGTGAGAGGTAATGCATGAGTAGGCGAATCTCATCAGACCAAATGACCTTGTCGAATTGATCAAATTGATAAGTAAATAAGTTACATTACTCATGGCGATAAAATAAAATGTGATAAAGTAAATTGCGATAAAATAAAAATTAGTAAGTGGGCAAAAATAATTTGAGAAGTTTTATTTAAACCCATTTAACCTCTCTCTACACCCAACTTAAACTTTAAATATGAAATGTTTTTATTATCCTATTGCGTAACTACCATCATGTACAAGATGAAATTAATTATAAAAGTAAAATTTATCAATAAGCCCCCTCCCACCCCCAAAATAATCAAACACTAATCATCACTAATCTTTCTTTGACATTCTATTGTGGAAAAAATCTTAAGACACATTCATAGAAATAAAAACCGATTTTTTTTAATGTATGAATGTGATTTTGAAGCTATGGATCCTCCAACTTTTTTATCATTATCATGACTACCACCACCACCACCCACTAACCCCACCACGACCATATCTCCAACACTACTCGTCACCTGTAGGAAACCTACTTCTACTACTGCTGCCAAAACAGCAAGCAACAACTTATCAAGGTCAACCACAAGAAAAGGTGGAGCAGGAGGAGAAGAGAGTTGGCATATGCTTTCACTAGTACTGCTACCTCTTATATATGAGATCGAAACCCTACTTATTGTAAGAGTAGGGTTTCTTTGACAAAAGGGTGGCTCAAGGGGAATCAAGTGTGTCGGTCCGATAATTCGGTATTATTCCCAGTACTACAAGCCGACCTGCAAAATATGCTTGCATTTGTTAAGCTAGTTAGGGTTTAGTTAATTTAGTTTAACTCTTATAGTCTCATGGCACTGTGTTTAATTAGATTAATAGATTTAATTAACATGGATCTTCATGAGACTAATTCAGGTAGCTTCTAATGTAAAAATAATGGGTGTAAAGATAAATTTGCATATTGAATTGGGTTTGCGATGGTAGTTTAGGTAGTAAATTTGGGTTTAAAGAGATACTTATAGTTTAATTAAAAATGATATGGATGTAGAGAGTAAGTTGGGTATAGAAATAAGTTATAGGGGTTCAAATAAAATTTCCCAAATAATTTTTAAGAAAATTAAATTACGCTAGGTGCTAGAAAATAATTTGCGGGAATTGAAAACTAATTTGAAATAGAAAACTAAGTAGGGCTTCATTTTGAATAGAAAAATAGGGTAAAAGTACACGCAGGGTGCAGAGAAATTAAAAATATAAGCAAATTTATTGATCGGGGAACTCTAACAACGACCAAGAGGGTCCTATTCATACTAGTTGAGAGCATTCATTCTCAATGAATGCCTTTTGATTGCCTCATGAGCCTTGATTCTTTTCCATTACAAATTTGGAATATATTCCTCCCAATGACAATTATGATGTATTTGTCTTCAATTTTGAAAATCCATAATCAACTTCATCCTTGAATGTTATTTTGGGACCACGAATCCCTAGGCTACATGGCACTCAGGGTGGTTAGAATGACCGGAAAGTCCTTTGAGAGAGACCGGGGCTACGTGGGTATTCTAGATCGGATTACCATAGGCGAAGGTAAGAGAAGAGAGGAGAGAAAGAGAGGATTTGGCATAACAGTAGAGAGCGAGGAGAGAGAGAAGAGATCAGAAGAGAAGAGAGAGAAAAGAGAAGTGATAAGAGAAAGTAGAGAGAGAAGAGAGAAAAGGTGCGGAAAAAGAGAGAGAGTGGAGAGCAGGTTAAGTTTGAAAACTCTAAAACTGACTTTTTTTTTGTTAATGTATAATTTATTTTTCAAGTTAGTTTTGAGTTTACTTTTTTGAAAATTGTCCTACCAAACAAAGGTTCTTGACTTGAAAATGTATTTGAATTTAAAAAAAAATAAAAAATTGAATTCAAGTTGATTACCAAACATGCCTTAAAAAGCTCAAGAATTTTTGAAATTCTTCTTGCTTCTTGTTTGTGCCATTGCCTACCAGTGAACGCCTATTCCCTTTGTACATAAACGGCATGGTCATGGCCT